GACATGTAGCACTCACGTCTGTAGCCATGAAGTACTTTGAAAGGCTGGTCATGGCTCACATTAACACCATCATCCCAGAAACCCTAGACCCACTCCAATTTGCTTACCGCCCCAACAGATCCACAGATGACGCAATCTCTATTGCACTCAACACTGCCCTTTCCTGCCTGGACAAAAGGAATACCTACATGAGAATGCTGTTCATTGACTACAGCTCAGCGTTCAACACCATGGTGCCCTCAAAGCTCATCACTAAGCTAAGGACCCTGGGACTAAACACCTCTGCAACTGGATCCTGGACTTCCTTACGGGCCGTCCCCAGGTGGTAAGGGTAGGCAACAACACATCTGCCACGCTGATCCTCAACACGGGCGCACCTCAGGGGTGCGTGCTTACTCCCCTCCTGTACTCCCTGTTCACCCATTACTGCGTGGCCAAGCACGACACCAACACCATCATTAAGTTTGCCGACGACACAACGGTGGTAGGCCTGATCACAGACAACGATGAGACAGCCTATAGGGAGGAGGTCAGAGACCTGGAAGTGTGGTGCCAGGACAACAACCTCTCCCTCAACGTGATCAAGACAAAGGAGATGATCGTGGACTACAGGAAAAAGAGGGCCGAGCACGCCCCCATTCTCATCAACTGGGCTGTAGTGGAGCAGGTTGAGAGCTTCAAGTTCCTTGGTGTCCACATCACCAACAAACTATCATGGTCCAAACACACCAAGACAGTGGTGAAGAGGGCACGACAATGCCTATTCCCCCTCAGGAGACTGAAAAGATTTGGCATGGGTCCTCAGATCCTTAAAAAGTTCTACAGCTGCACCATCGAGAGCATCCTGACTGGTTGCATCATCGCCTGGTATGGCAACTGCTCGGCCTCCGACCGCAAGGCGCAACAGAAGGTAGTGCGTACGGCCCAGTACATCACTGGGGCCAAGCTTCCTGCCATCCAGGACCTCTATACCAGAGGAAGGCCCTAAACATTTCCAAAGACTCCAGCCACCCTAGTCATAGACTGTTCTCTCTGCTACCGCATGGCAAGCGGTACCGGAGCGCCAAGTCTAGGTCCATAAGACTACTGAACAGCTAATCAAATGGCTACCCGGACTATTTGCATTGACGCTGCTGCTACTCGCTGTTTATTATCTATTATCTATGCATAGTCACTTTACCCCTAGCTACATGTACATATTACCTCAATTACCTCGACTAACCTGTACCCCCGCACATTGACTCGGTACCGGCACCCCTTGTATATAGCCTCGTTATTGTTATTTTATTGTTGCTCTTATTTTTTACTTTAGTTTATGTAGTAAATTCTCTTAACTCTTATTTCTCTTAACTGCATTATTGGTTAAGGGCTTGTAAATAAGCATTTCACGGTAAGGTCTACACCTGTTGTTTTCGGCGCATGTGACAAATGACATTTTATTTTATTTGAAGTAGATCAGTCAGTCTGGAGTTGCCGACTGCAATATTTTATCTCAAACACACAGAATGAGCAAAATTGTTCCTCTCAAACACGTCCCTTCTTAGCATGATGGATCCCATCAGTAACCACTGGTGTGGAAGGAGCAGTTGTAGGGGTTAAAGGTCCAAAAACTGTCAGTGGCCAACCATCACCTGCAGTCCACATGGTGTGTTCAGGGATCACCTACCGGGTTGTAGAGAGCGGTGGCCATCTTTCCCGATTCAACCTGTATAATATTTGTTTGCTTACTCTGCTACAGTGATGGCTTTCAACCTTGAGCCAATCAGAAAACAAATGTTGTTAGTAAAAAAATGTTGTTTGAAGGGTGAATCTCGATTTTATTCCCTTGATTCCTCGCAACCTCTGTCGTCACCGCCTTCTCAGTTTGTTTTCTTGTAGAAGTTCAGAGGGGAACCTCAGGCTCCAATGCGTTTTGAGAAGGAGATGAGGAGAGAGGACAGGAGGAATCGAGGAAATAATTTAGATGCACCCATTTCCAAGACGTCGACTATAGCCCAGCCTGGGATCCAATAGCATCTTCTGTCAGTCAAAACCTGTCGCAGAGTCTTTTTTATGTGTTGTTCATACACAACTTTTGCTGGGGGTCTCTTGAGACAAAAAGGGTCCCCTAAATGGACAAAATATTGGCCAGCAATTACTTAAAGGTACAATGCAGCCGTTTTTATCTCAATATCAAATCATTTCTGGGTAACAATGAAGTACCTTCTTGTGGTTGTTTTCAATTAAAATAGTAAAAAAGAAACAAAAATATATTCTTAGCAAAGGGCAATTTCTCAAGCAAGATTTTTGCTGGGACTGTCTGGGGGTGGTCTGAGTGGGGAGGGGAAAACTGAAGACTAGCTGTTATTGGCAGAGAGGTTTAGAACTCTCTTTCTTATTGGTCTATTAACTAATTTACCACATGGTGACGTCACCATGGAAGGCCAAAAGTCCATCCCACCAAAACAGGCTGACATTTCAGGCAGTCTTTTCATACAGCTCTTACACTAAAAGGACATTATCATAATTTTCACAATATTATTCTAACCGTGTGGAAATATATATAAAACACAGGAAAATCACGTTTTTGAATGCACTGGGCCTTTAAGCAAAAATGAGGCACACCTCCCCACGCCCATGAGAAAAAGCCTATACTGTATGGTTAGCCTAAAACTACAGATTGAATGGTTTCATGAGTTAAGAAATAGATTGATGTTATAAGCTATCATAATGTGAACCATCCAGGCAAAACCCAAGCCAAAAATTGAGATAAACAAACTAAACCTCTGTAAAGCCTCTTTAAGTGCAAGGTGTAGCAGTTGTAGCTGGAGCAGTTATAGGGGTTAAGTGTCTTGCTCAAGTGCACAACGTCTGGAGATAGAAGTTGTCAGTGCCCCACCAGATTATCCCATTACCTGGGATACTATTATTAATATTATTATTTTATATTATTTTACCTGGGATACGAACCAGCGACCCTCTGGTTGATGGCTTGCTACCTGCTGAAGGTGATTTCTCATCTACAATGTCCAGTGTAATGAGTGATTAGATAGCTAGGCTTTAAAGACAAATACTTCTAGCTAGCATTAACATTACTTATCTAAATATTTGGGGTGACGTCAGAGTTGGGACGTCCCAAGGATTCTGTTTAGACCTTTCCATTCGATAATCTGGCCCAGATTACACCCGGAGGGAGGAGTTTGCACTGGGTGAAAAGTGATGGCATTTCGTTTTGGAACCGGGCTGCCTCCCAGGAGTGAGCTAGGTGCCCCATTCAAAACCCACTGTGAAGTCAGCTCACAACAAAAGTAACACAGCACAGGCTAGATTAAAGATAGACTCAGTGAAATTATGTTCCTACGAGCAGCACCGCAGATATTGGCCGTGTTCGAGAGCATCAAAACCGTGTTGTATGGGTACATTTTGACTGACTGGCTGGTCTACAAATAATATTGAGTAGTTATTTATGCTGCAAGGTGATTTGTAGATCAGTCAGTCTGGACTCGCCTATAAAGCCGGCTGCAATGTCAAACATGCCCATTGAGATGAGCAAGATGCAACACAGTATCTGCGCATATGCATGGGTTCGCTTCACACTGTTATAGCGTGGAAGCCAGGGCACCAAAACAGTGGAGAAATTGAGCCTCGTGCTTCAACACTCTTAAGGCATCAGCATGCCTCGGTTTGGCTGGCGCCTTGCCGAACTGAACGAGTGTGCTAGCATACTCCCTTAAAAGACCTTCACTTGAAAAATTAGAAAAAAGCGGCAATAGTACTGTTTGTCCATCTTGAGACGCCTTAGCCAGACTGGCTCAAAATAGTCGGAATTAATCTAAAATAACAAAATAAAATCGGTCATTAATTTTGACGTTTTTGCCAAGGAGATCTTCGTAACGCAATGTTACATCTAACTAAGATGTTTGGTGCAGTATTTCTCAAGTGAAAAAATGTGCATGAAAACGATTCTTCTCTCCTTGAATGACAACAAACACTTAATTGAAGGATCCCTACTGTTGACCAATCCCCGACGAAGGGGCGTAGACTTCGGCTTGCCTCTAGAAAATGTTTTGTATGCACAAACAGCCAAAAAAAAACTAAAATCAAAACTAACAAAAACTTCACAAAATGCTGTCATAATATATGCACAAACTGTTCCAAACTGATTTGGATGGTAAGCATGCAAACGCCTTTAGTTGTTGAGGAAATTTACCCGTGCTGTTGAATCTACTTCATATTGCTGAGTCTACCTTTAAGAGTGTGGGGTAATGAGTAGGAATAATTTTAAAAAGGAGAGACCTGATTGAGGCACATTTTATTTATTTTGTCATAAAACAATTTTAAGAAGGACAGACGTGACTGAGGCGAGGGAGACGAATACATTAATAAAGTATTTGGCAATGGAAAAAATATGCAAAAAAAACCTGTTAAATAAAATACTAAATATAATTACTAGGATTCTGTGTTTTCACATGCAAAGGTGATTGCTTTTGATAAAAACGCTTTATCTGCCGTCCTAATGAAAATTCGAAATTGTATTTTGACGCACCATGCTGCACGGTAGACAACATGACTAAATGGAGCAGATTAGAGGCGCGTTCGAGTGGATCACTTTCGTCAAATCGCCTTTCAAAGTGTGTTGCATTATGGGGATAAAAATTGTCCGATTTGCGCCTACAGGTCGACTGCATGAACTTTACAACAACCATGTGATCAAAGGTCATGAAGTTTCGACTGCAACTGTGGAAAAGGAAGAAATTTTGCCACGATTCACATGTACAATGAATATGTACAAATGAATGTAATATGAGTCTCTCGCCAATTGATAGTAAAATGTACACACATACTGTATATTTACAGTTTGTGGGTGTGTGATATGGGTTTTGGAGAAACAAAACATTCGGATGCTTTGCTTAAGTTTTACCACTCAAACAAGCCATAGCTAGGACTGTTCGATTTGAGCACTTGAGAAAGGCGCTCCTCCCTCACCCCTTTTGCCCGTTCACGTCACGGGCCATAGACCGGTACACCGCGGTTCAGGTTAATAGAACTCCCTCACTTGCAGTCGGATTGCCCACATGTAAACCTGGTTTTAACGTCTATGATGTAAACAGAACACAGGGCCCCTCGTTTTGTTGTTGTTTTTGACAGTCAACAAGTCAGGCATGCCTCTCGAAGGGGTATATGAGTTTTAAACATTAGTATCGTAGTAAATTATTTAGCAATATGTCTATGGAAGATCCGTTTTTCGTCGTCAAAGGGTAAGTAGCTAAGGCTCCATCAGATAACGTTAGCTTGTTTCTATCTTGTTTGCCATCAAGTCTGGCTTTAGCAAGGATGGCTAACGCTAGCTTGGAACAAAGGGGAATTGTTGTAGTTGGCTCTGTCGCTAGCAAGTTTAGCTATCTGTTTAGTCAGTTAGCAAATTGCGTACGTGTTTAACAGCTCAGCAGTCACAATGGTGAGAGACATGAATAGCAATTTGCATTTTTGTGGCGCTTGTTGGTTATTGTCATGTATAACTAACGTTTAACTTGCCCGTTAAACGTGTAACTCGCTGTCGCAGACTCACTGGGAGGTAACTTAGCTAGTTACAATGTTTGATGGTTAATGTAAGATCGACAGCTATGGCAAATATTCTAATTTACATGTTTTTCTATATGGGTTGATGTAATGATATTGTATGTGTGGTTATATTAATATGCCTCGGTGACTAACGGCATGTCAACTTCAATGTCTAGCCCGCCTTGATCATGATTCTCAGTTCCAATACATTACACATAGCTAGCTAAGTCATTGGACAAAAGCCTTTAGTTCTGTAGGGGGTATTTTGTTAAGAGCCACGACTCTTGGTCTTAACATTAAAACAGATCGCTTGCGGTACGGGTTTGGCAGCATAAGGACCTTATCTTTCATATCGGCGAGAAATAATAAAATAAAATAAAAAATTAAATTGATACACACCTTCCTAAGATTAGTTCCCACATGGCCATATCTCCACCTGTTTACGGAAGACAGATGACTACCTGTGTGCTAAATAGCTATCTGCGTCTCCAAACACCTGTGTGTAAATGGAAGATAGACGCCACAAACATTGTCACTGAAAAATACTGTCAGCTGCAACTGTGTTAAAACAGTGTATAGTAAGTGTATATTTTGCATTTGTGATATTAAAGTAAATGGCTTTATGTTTCTAGAACCAAACCGCAATTGAGAATCGATTCACGTTTAGATTGGTGTATTTGGCTATTTTGTCTGCCCAAGAAAATGTGCTTCTAAACAGACCATGTACGGTCCTTGGACTATAAGGAGTAACGTTAGACTCCTTTAGTCCATTATTGGGCTACCTCTTAGCTATACACAGTATTGCATTTCTATGTGCTATAGGTAGCTCGATACTGTAGATGCACTTTAATATAGACTATCCTATTCAACAAATCTCCAGTGAGGTCCAGAAGGCCGTGAACACCGCTCAAGGGCTGTACCAGAGATGGAGCGAGCTGCTGCAGGATCCCAGTGGTGCTTCCAAGGAGGAGGTGGATTGGACCACCAATGAGTTGAGAAACAGTCTGCGGTCCATCGACTGGGACCTGGAGGATCTTGATGAGACCATCAATATCCTTTCAACATAAAATGACTCTTAGTTTAACTTGCATATATACTGGTTTATCAAAACATTGTGAACCATGCTTAATCTGTGAATAGAATACAGTACTTTAAAGAGTACAGCATCCTGCAAGTGTAGTAGACTTCAATCTTCATAGAGAGTAAAATGATTTGATTATTTATCATGTCTTTGTTGAATAGGCTATTCCTTAACAGTAAATGAAAGTATTGTTGAATCAAACCCTAAGAAGTTCAATCTGGACGCAGTGGAGCTGTCCAAACGGAAAGGCTTCATCACAAGCACCAGACAAACTGTTAAGGTGAGTCAGGCCTAAGGCACACAGTCCTGGAAGGATTCCAGTTTAACTTGGAGTAGCCATCACACACAAATATAGTTGGAAACAGCAGTAACCCTAACAAAAAGAATAGGGTTGCTGCACCTTCAGTGTTAGGACCCTTAATAATTAGAGATGTTGTGTTTTCTTTATAGCCATGATCAGCCAATGTGGATATGGTGGCTGATGCATGGTGCATGCCTTTATTATTAGGTCTTATTGAACATACTGTGTTTTATCTCACTGCTGTGTTTTTCTGTTTTTGATTTCAGGAAATGAAAGACCACATGTCCAGTCCAACGGCCTTAGCCATGTCAGACAAGAAAATCAGACAGGTGTGTAGCTCTATGTAACTATTGGGCTGAGATCTTACTGAAGCAATTTTTTACAGTTTGCAACTTTGCATGAAATTATGCAGTATGACGGAATGCACTTCTCAAACGTGTAGCACATTTTAAAGCAGAAGGTTGCGTACTGCTTTATCTGATCGTTGACACTGCAAACATCCGTAGTTAGCATTTGTCAGAGAGTAAGTGCAATTCGTATTGGCAGGATGTCCACATACTTCAGCAGATCTCCTATGTAATCATTGCTTCTCCCCCAGGCTCTGTTAGGGGACAGTGGATCTCAAGGCCCAATCTGGCAACCAGGACCCGACAAATACACCCGCCTGGACCAAGAGCTACGGACGGCCAACTCCCAGTTCATTGAGGAGCAGCAAACCCAGCAGCAGGTATAGCTAATAAAAATGTCTCTCATGCTTATGTACACCTATGTTGATTGCTGTACTTACTAGGTGCTGGATTTTACATTCGTTTGACTATGAATCATTTTATTGATCTTTTTACTCTGTATCATTTGCAACATACTTTGTGTGAAATTAATAACGTGACATAAGTCAGCGACGTTGACCTGTGTGGGTGTGTGTGTGCGTGCGTGTGTGTCAGCTCATGGCAGAGCAGCAGGAAGACCAGCTGGAGCTGGTGTCTGGGACCATCGGGGTGCTGAAGAACATGTCTGAGAGGATTGGCATGGAGTTGGACGAACAGACAGTGTACGTAAACATCCACTGATACACAACCACAGCAACATTAATCAATAACATGAGGATTAGGGTTTCAGGTCTGCACAGATCATCAGGTGCCGTATGTATCAAGCGTCTCAGACTAGGAGTGCTGATTTTAGGATCAGTTTTGACTTGTAGATGATAATGAATAAGATTATATAGACAGGGGTACCTGATCCTAGATCCGCATTCCTACTCTGAGACGCTTTGTCAATACAATATACATCTTTCATGGTATCTACAATGCAGCGTGTCTTCTCTGTTGTAGTATGCTGGATGACTTCTCCCATGAGATGGAAGGTACCCACTCCAGACTTGACAACGTCATGAAGAAGCTGGCCAAGGTCTCCAACATGACCACCGGTAAGTAATGCAGCATAGTCTCTTCATTCACCACCATTCTACCTAGGTTAAAAATACACTTCAAAATTCAGGCATCATCTCCACTACTGCAAGTTATCAAAGTCTGCAACTTTTGGAGATGTGAGTTAGAGGTTACTTAAGTGGCGGTATAGTATTATTGTGGATGTCTTTTGATGTTCCCTAATATGCCAGGCCACTTATGTATGGGTGCTCATTAAAGATGATAAATGCTTGACTTGAGAGAGAAGGTCCAGTCATTAACTTCCTGTTTAAGGGAACGTCTGTGCAAGACAACTTGGAGTCAGCAAGGATCAGCGGCTGAACAAAAAGTGGTGGCACCTCCTTATAAGGAAACCCTCTCAGGAAGCTTCCAACAAGAAGAACTCAGGAGACAGGGAGTCAAATGAAATCGGGTCCTTTTTTATGTCAGGATATCCTGTCAGTACTTTTCCCTGGCCCCTAGACCAACCAGTGTTTCATAACTCCGGTCCTCAAGTACCCCCAACAGCACACATTTATGTTGTGGCTCCGGACAAATAATAGTCTAATAAAAAGCATGAGCTGGCACACACCCAGAAAACATCACTTAGTGTAGAGGTGCTGACTAACGGAGAATAAACTGTAAGCTATAAAAACAAATGGAGTTGCACACTATGTATAAACTCCCAGTAATTTATTGTTTTTTTACCCAATAAATTACTGGGAGTTTATACATAGTGTGCGACTCTCTTTATTACATTTTTTTTGGCTCCGGACAAAAACAGCTGATTAAACTTCTCAAGGGCTTGATGATTAGTTGACAAGTAGAATCATGTGTGCTTTTCCGGGCCACAACAAAAATATGTACTGTTGAGGGTACTCGAGGACATGGAGTTGGGAAACAATGCCCTAGACAATGCGCTTAGGGTTTTATATTTGTACTTTATTGTATTATTTTCCCCCTACTTTTTGCTACTCTTCTTTGCAACGTGCCACTCAAGTTGCAACTTTGAAGATGAATATTTCAGGTCGAAAGACATGGTATTCTCCATAGAACATGAATTCCTAGTAGTTGGACCTCTCATGCCTGAACATGTCTGAAAGCAACAACAAAAAAAGGTAAATGGCTCCTCTCGTTGTTTGATACAGTTCACCCTCTTCATAATTTTCTCCTCGCTCTGTTTTTCTCTCTTCCTTTCTCTTGCAGACCGGCGACAGTGGTGTGCTATTGGTATTCTACTGGCCATTCTGTTTGTGGTCTTCATTCTCTTCTTTATCCTGTGATGACCAGACCGTCCACCACGACAACACTCCCACTGACCCCCTCACCCCTGTCTCCGTTTGACCATAGGGATGGACTTTACATGGTGCTTGGGGAAACATCCAAGGTTTCCATTGACATAGGGAGTTGGCTATCTTACCCCGACCCCCTTTTTACTGCATACGCTGTATATACAGTGATGTTGCTGCAGTTTCCTCTCAAGCAACGTTCTCAATCGTCGTTTTAGATACCTGCACTCAACTTAAACCTCCCTTGGCGTGAAAGATTTAGTTTCTGTGCATGCACAATTTTTGGTAGGATTTGATCCTATGTGAATACTAGTCCTCAAAATGTTTTATAGAAACCTGTTTGAGGTAAACCAGGGTAGTTCAAACTCCTTGTGGCATTTTAGTGTTCATGTTCAGAAAATGATGTACGAAGAAGACTAATCATTAGTGTGTTTATTTAGAGGGCCTTGTCTGTTGTTTCTTGCTGAAAACCCCTACAGCTACCATGGTCATAGTTTTTGAATATATTTTGTTTTCTCATGCACTGACTGCGTAACAGGTTTATACAAGTATATTAAACTGTGTATATATAATCGTAGTTGGTCATAGTTAAAACAAAACACTGGAGTAACAAGGAAAATTATATATTGCTAAGCGAGTATACGTATCACTAACCACACTACTACAATGGATTAACTTAATATGTTATCGTTTTTTCTTAATCTATGTTCTTTCATTTTGTGCTTCATGTATTTTTGGCATCTGCTTATACACTATCAACAGGTGTTTAACATCTGCCTGTGAAATCAAGTCACTTCCTGCAATACTGAATGGAAAGGAGCAAAACCATATACTTTTGTATCTCGAACAGGGCTCAAGCTTGATTTATTGTCTTAATGTGAGCACTCTTATCTTGTACGCAAAATGTTTTCATCAAGATGACCTTTGCTTGCATGTCTTCATATGTCTGGTGTCTTTCAGTCAGTGTTGTCAAAGCGACAACACTTCACCATGAGGGCCCTTCTAAAGACTTCATAATATTCTTATAATCAGTATATGACGCCCCCAGGCACTTCATAAATACTTGTAGGTACAATTCAGTTGGCAAGCTAGTATGTCAACAGACCTTAGGTTGTTTATCTAAGCTAGCCTCATGCATTTGTTTTTGAATGTGTTATGCAGTTTTTACAAGGCCCTTATACCAAAGTGTTGTGTTCAAATTAAATGCTAATTGAGAAGCCTGTCCTACTTTCCCCTGCCAGGAATGAGTGTTAAGGTTTATCAGTGTTACAGGAACCATGATGTTGTAATAAGGATTAATAAGGGAAAGGGACTGATTGAGTCACACCTGGGCTGTATTCATTAAGGCACACCGTAGCAAAACAAATATAGTGTTTCTTATTGGAGATGTTCAAGGTAGTCCCTGTTTCAGTCAGTTTTCTAACGTTTGGTGCCTAACGAATATGGCCCTGGGAGTTGCTGTGTTCTGCATAGCCAGTGCCTTAGGATGATACTGTATATATGTTATGCTAGGGCTAGAACGGTTCATTTTGGTCTCGCTTCCTACCCCCTACCTGGAAATTCAATTTCAAAACGGTAACCAGAGTTCCAGGATAAGTTGTAAGTCGAGGGTTGACTGAATGAATATGCAGGCATGTTTTTTTTTCTGCTTTCACAGTGTGTTCTTATACAGTTCAAGGAGAATGATACTGTTGTGTTAGCCTGGTTACCAGTCTGTTTAGCTAACATTCCACTCCTTGTACTCTGTGCCATATGCCAAAGATATGTTTAGCATGACAGGAGTGGCAAGGAGTGGGAAAATGGGCAAACAGACTGGTACCCAGACTTATGAGTTTGATTCAGTAGGCCTCCACTCATTTGAGGACTTAATGTGAACGTAATACATTAATTCGCTGTATTTTAGGTTGAATGACCTCAATCCACAGGCCATGAAGTCTTTATGGTAAATCAAGACAGTAAAACCATACATAAGGGTATTGTGATGCACAGTGATAGTACTACTGTATGAAATATAATAGACTCTAGTGATCAAGTTTTTCTCTATGGCAGTCGATACACAGGCAGCCCAATTCTGATAGTTTTTCAGTAATTGTCCTTGACTAATCAGATTATTTTTGGAAAAAGATCTGATGTGAGTGGTCAAAAGACCAATTGGTAGAGAAAAAAAATAAGCTGAATTGGGCTGCCTGTGTAAATGCAGCCTGAGAGTCTCAAAAATCTGAGTTCTGAAAACACTCCTGTTCTTTCAAAGGACTTATTATGAAGTTAGCTAAATATTGTTTGTCATTTATTGTTTTGTCTTTTATTATGAGTTAACACTACACGTTCACTGTACTAGAAATACAATATTTCATTTACAGTATGTGTCATTAGAGGTAAAATATTTTAACATAATTTGTTTATCAGTTTACTTAAATGTTTTCATTTTTTCACTTTTCAGAAGTGTTATGTCTGGTAGGAAGAGTTTGACTTGGAATTTACAATATTTGCATTTATTTCAGATTATGGACAATTTGAATGCATGACAGTGACCCAGACAATTATGTACCATCTCAAAAATCACGTGTTCATCACAAAAAAAGCTGTGTTATGCGTAAACTTTGCGAATCATTTGGTAAAGCTGTATTATGATACAAAGTACCTTTAGCATTAAATACTGTACTTATTGCACAACCAAGTCACTGGTGACAGTGATAGGTGGATGAGATGTTTGTGAAGAATGGGTACAGTCCATGGCATTGTAAGTCATGGTGTGTGTTTGTTTGCGTGAAACAACCTTTTATTTGTTGTGTGCATGCTCCTGGAGTGTATGAAAATACTTTTTATCCTTGAACCTCAACCTTTTGACCTCCATGTCATCATGGCTGAGTGTCTGTAGCTGAAGAGTCCTAAAAATAAAACTGACAAGCAGGATGCTGCAAAGATTTCAGCTCATTTCAATAAAATCTGAATGATTTGCTTGACTTAACTGTTTTTTTTAAGGGTATATAGGCCTAGCTCAAAATGGAAATTGGTACTCGTCACAGATCTTGAATCAGAATAACCTTACCTGATCCTAACCATTTAGAGGGATGATACATTATCTGACCTTGTTCCTACTGGCACCCCCTGACTCAGGGGACGCTTATATGTTGAGTCAGGGTGTGTATATTCCTTGTTGTGTTTGTTCTATGTTGTAGGATCTAGTATGTCTAGATCTATGTTGGCCGGTGTGGTTCCCAATCAGAGGCAGCTGTCGCTCGTTGTCTCTGATTGGGGACCATACTTAGGCAGCCTATTGACACTAGTGGGTTGTGGGATCTTGTTCCGTGTAAGGTATGTTTTGTGTTCTACCTTGGACTTCACGTTTAGTTTAGTTTGTTGTTTTGTCGTGTTGTTTATTAAGTTAAAATAAACATGTACGCATATCACGCTGCGCCTTGGTCTGACCCGTCCATGAACCAACGTGACAAGATCCCACCAAACGAGGACCAAGCAGCGTGCTCAGGAAGAGCGAATAGCATGTCACAGGTGGGCAAATGGTGGTCATGGGAGGAGATATTTGCGGGGAAAGGGCCATGGGCGAAGGTAGATGCCCAGGCAGGAGAGGTGAAACGGCGCCAACCGTGCCGACGACGGAAACCCGAGAGGCAACCCCAAGAAAATGTTGGGGGGGGGGGCACACAGGGTGGATGACGAGGCAGCAGGAGGCCGTGGAAGGGCGAATCTGCAGGTTAGGAGAGGAGGCCACCATGTTACGGGGGCTATTGGTTCAGAGGGAGCAGGAGTTATTCGGTCAGAGGGAGGAGCTACAGGAGGCTAAAAGGGAGAAGGAAAGTGTAGAGGCACGGCAAGAGGAGCTGGTTAGGCAGCAGAAGGAGCGGGGGTTAATAAAGGAACCCAGTCCCGCTCCTCGCACCAAGAAAGTGGTGCGTGTCGCCAGTCCGGTCCGGCCCGTTCCTGCTCCCCGCATTAAGCCAGTGGTGCGTGTTCCCAGTACGGCCCGACCCGTTCCTGCTCCTCGCACTAAGCCAGTGGTGCGCGTCGCCAGCCCGGCCCGGCCTGTCCCTGCCCCTCGCACCAAGCCAGTGGTGCGCGTCGCCAGCCCGGCCCGGCCTGTCCCTGCCCGGCCTGTCCCTGTCCCTCGCACCAAGCCAGTGGTGCGCGTCGCCAGCCCGGTCCGGCCTGTCCCTGTCCCTCGCACCAAGCCAGTGGTGCGCGTCGCCAGCCCGGCCCGGCCTGTTCCTGCCCCTCGCACCAAGCCAGTGGTGCACGTCGCCAGCCCGGTCCAGCCTGTTCCTGTACCTCGCACCAAGCCAGTGGTGCGCGTCGCCAGCCCAGCCCGGCCTGGCCTGTTCCTCTCCCTCGCACCAAGCCAGTGGTGCGCGTCGACAGCCCGGCCCGGCCTGTTCCTGTCCCTCGCACCAAGCCAGTGGTGCGCGTCGACAGCCCGGCCCGGCCTGTTCCTGCCCCTCGCACCAAGCCAGTGGTGCGCGTCGCCAGCCCGGCCCGGCCTGTTTCTGCCCCTCGCACCAAGCCTGTGGTGCGCATCGCCGGCCCGGCCTGTTCCTGACCCTCGCACCAAGCCAGTAGTGCGCGTCGCCAGTCCGGCCCGGCCTGTTCCTGCCCCTCGCACCAAGCCAGTGGTGCGCGTCGCCAGCCCAGCCCGGCCTGTTCCTGCCCCTCGCACCAAGCCAGTGGTGCGCGTCGCCAGCCCGGCCCGGCCTGTTTCTGCCCCTCGCACCAAGCCTGTAGTGCGCGTCGCCGGCCCGGCCTGTTCCTGACCCTTGCACCAAGCCAGTGGTGCGTGTCGCCAGTCCGGCCCGGCCTGTTCCTGACCCTTGCACCAAGCCAGTGGTGCGTGTCGCCAGTCCGGCCCGGCCTGTTCCTGCCCCTCGCACCAAGTCAGTGGTGCGCGTCGCCAGCCCGGCCTGTTCCTGCCCCAAGCCAGTGGTGCGCGTCGCCAGCCCGGCCCGGCCTGTTCCTGCCCCTCGCACCAAGCCAGTGGTGCGCGT